ATAATCTACATTTTCTTTTTTTCTTTTTTTTTTTCTTTTAGTGAATCTCAATTTCATCTCTTTTTTGGAGCATCTTCTTGTGTCTTTTGTAAAATTATTTGTTTCAATTGTCCTATCTTTACAAACTCTAACTTTGTCTCTAAAAATAACCTACTATGTTCTCCAATTTCCTTTGAGGCCTCTTATTCAACAATTAGTATGACATAGACTAACATTCTTCTTCTTTCATGATTACATTACAAATCTTTAAAAAAAAATAGATTAAAATCATACCAAACATGAGTTTTATTAAAAGATGGTATTAAGGATATGAATAGCAAAGAACCAAATGCTTGATATATTTTTGTGCTACTAAAAAATAATAGATATTTATTCAAAGAAGGTATAATATTAAGACAAGAATAGCTATTGCTAAAGACAAAAAGACTAGAGACTCTTGAAACAAGACTAAAAATGATAAAAACATTGACAAGAGTGATGAAGGCTTGATATTTATCTCTATATATACTATCTAAGTAAAAGCTACATGGTGACATTATATAGAACTAACAATATGTGTCAAACTTATAAGATAAGTTTCTTACATGTACATCACATGGCCAACTTGTTGGCCTAGCTTTCAGCCTATCAATCACCTACAAATCCATTAAAAGTCAAATCTGTCTCTATGAAGCTTCTAAGAAGTTTTTCCATAAGATACTACCTAATTTATTTACTTTTATGTTCTTCTATTTAATTCCTTTAATTTTGGTAAATATATATATATATATATATATATATATAGAAATAGTAGAAGAAATTGAGAGCATCAAGAAAATGCACACTTGACAATTTATATCTCTTTCTCTATATAAAAAAAAAAAAAAAAAAAAAAACCATAATTGCTTCTTGGCTTTTTAATATCAAATCAAGTGCAAATAGTGGTTAAGATTGATACAAGATGTGGCTTGTTGTACACAGATTCTAGCAATGTGAAAGTGTTGACTTCAATGAAATATTTGCATTGATGGCAAAATGAAAAACTATTTGTGCCATTAGTACCTTAATTGGCTCTATTAGTTGGCTGATTTACTACCTTGATTTACATCATCTATCAAGGTAGATTACATTTACATCATTTACATCAAGAAATTACATTTACATCATCTATCAAGGTAGATTACACAATAATTTCTTGATGTAAATAATTTCTTGGATACAACACTCCTACTATTATGCATGAGGTTTTCAAGGTTGATTGCCTCTTTTATAGATTGGAATAGGCTCTTTGAGCATAATTTCATAAAATTCATCATTATTTAAACAAAAAAGATCTTCAGTCTCCCTCCTTAATAGGCAATCTATACTTTCTATAATTTGATGGCAAAATTGTTTTTCTTGTTTTTTATATTGATGATCTCTTCATCACCAATGACCATCATTGCATAATCATGTGGCTGAAAACTATGATCGGGAAAAAATTTCACATGACAAAGTTAGGACTATAGTGTCGTTACCTTGGCATCAAATTTGACCAATTAACTGCTCAATTGACTGCTACAAATTGACCATTGCCAACCTGTGTGCTTAACCTCAACAAATGTTACAATAAGCAAGTGTTACAACAAGCATGTGTTCATGGAGCGAGTTATAATGGGACGAACCCTTCCTTGTCACAGTAGCATTCATGCCTGGATGTAGCTCATCTTCTGTAGATGTTTACTCAGTCTGCCAGTCATGTATATATACTCTGGGCCCTCGTTTGCCTCTCTATAAATCTGATGTGATCTCCCGAACCTACACGAGGGAGAGGGAATCAGCAAGTCGCACTGCCAAACACGAATAAATTGTATCATATCGTACAATTCCTGAGTTTTCAACACAATTTCGGGAACTCGCTGGTACAATTTAGCCTTTTGTATTGGGAAAATGAGGGTGCCATCAGGGTGGCGAAGAGTTCTGAGATCCGCTGAAGGTCAGAACTGAGTGACTAAAAGTGCCGCATAGTTGATGAATCTAACGAGTGGAGAGGGGTAAGACAGTTGTATGTGTTGGGACAGGCAGTCGAAATATTGACATCCTCACAAAAAATTCGCTGTGGAATATATAATAACAAATTCGAGGATAGCGACAGCATGAAAGACTCGGATGATCGGCTGGGTTGGTGTCCATGAGTAGTCATGGAGTTGGTATTCACCGAATAGAGTCGACATTACACCAGCGAGAAAAGCACAATACAGTACGTACATGCGTTTATGACTAGGTAATCCTTCTCTCGTCTTCGTGGAGCTGAGGCCCAACTAGATCTACAGCTGAACTATGTCGTAGGTGTGGTGAAGCTTACAGTGGGTTGGTGAGCACTAGTTCTGCACCCAGGAATTCTGCGCCTTCGGTATCAAGTTGGCCCCCCTGCTCGGCTCTCTGTGTGGTGAGATTGATGTCCCTCACATGGTGTGGTCCTGCGGCATAGATTGGTCGAGGTAGTTTGGGTAAGTCCAGAACGTTTTGAACTCAGATTACAATGTATCAAGTTGGTGTATACTCCTTACTTTTCGAAGTGTCAGTTGCTTGACGACAAGAATTTGGCTCCAGGTACAATCGTCACTGTATGATCTTGATCACAAACGACTGGATATAGTCCAGTGTGCCAGGTTTTTCAATGTGTACTATCTGACAACTAAAACTATGTTGCGCAAAGCAGAGATGTGTGCTGTTGTGTCGCCACCACCAATTTTACCATTACCTTCACGACGATGGTCACTTCAGATGTTTTAATATCTTAAGTTGATGACTTAAACACGAAGAACCAAAGTAGGAGACCTGAATAATCTCTGAAGTGGAATGACAAACTCTAAGTGCTGGAAGGGTAAACAATCTGGTCAGTGATATCATAACAAAACTGCAGCTACTATGTATCTGGCACGACTTTCAAATAACTCTGATCTTTTTGACCCCATTTCTGCGTATTTCTGCCACAAAGAACCCCTTTCATCCTGCACGAATTCATTATTTAGCCCTTATATCTGATATTTTTAGTTTATCGTTTGTTATATTCTAAGCTAGAGCTAATCAATGTAGAACTCGATAGACAATTTCCCATGAAGGTCCGTAGCAAGTATTACAGATTCACATCTGTTTAAGAAGAATCAGAATCCCCTTTCGCGAAATCACGTAATTTTTTCAAGGATCACACCGCACAGGCATCACACATCTGATACTATCCTTGGTAACATCAGAGACTTTCCACGACTTCTGCGGTAACCGTTAGTTATACTGCTACTTCAGTTCAGAGCGGTTCTGCCTTTCTACGTGAATACTACCATCGTTTGAGATTTATCATGCACATCTCAAATTCAAGGTTGAGTTCCATATGGTTAAGGAGAAGTTAGATAAAGAGACTTCGGTTCCGTGATGCTAACAGAAGCATTGAACTGTCATTCTGTTTCAGGGTGGCTGCCACGGAATCGCCACAGCTCTCCATCAAGGTATTTGTTTCCTCCTCTTCAACAAAGACTTCCAGCGTGCTTGCTCACAAAAAGGACGTTGGAAGCCTTTGAGGGAGAGGAAAAATCAACTACCCTTCACATCTGCTGAACGTTGTAGACAACTCTTGTGATTCAACTATCATGGTGAGTGATGACCCAACTCCGTCAAAAACTCAACATCGAACTCACAGAAGAGAACTGGACAAGCGTCTTTTCACGTCCATCTATTCCTCAATCCTATTCTGACCCCTAGACCTCAGGCGGTCAGTAGCGCACAGATCCATAACACTGAGACGGCATGGAGAAATATCTGCGTCGGAGTGTGAAGTCCCTATGAAGATGTGTTCGCGGGGGACAGAGGCGGTGAGGTTGGTGCAGGCAGCCAGACTGATCAGTTGAGATTGACGAACTTCCAGAAATCTAAATAGCCAGTGACTATTCCGCGAACTTCGCATGAAGAAGTACAACTGGCTACTTTGATAGGCAAGCTTCATGTGTGTGAATTGGGTACGTACAGATTTCCGTTACCAAGTTTGTGACGTGCTGGATAAGACATGCTCGTTAGTAGTGGCAGGCTTACATGCAGTTGGAAGAATCCGTAAACTGGCTTATCTGAAGATAATGCTTTTTTTTTTTGTAGTAAGCCAGTTCCTCAGAGTTTCGGGGACCTGTCACGGCTTCTCGAAATGAATCGATTTCGAGTTCTACATTGGTTGGTGTAAAGGGTTGGAGACGCAACATTTTTGGATAATACTTTGGCTACTCAATTGGCTACTGGTGGTACGCATCATGCGAAAGCGATGAATGACAACAACGTATTGCAAATGATTTGTGGAGAATGAGTGGAGGAGCAGAATCCTCGTGTAAATGTTGACTTCTGGGTTTTTTCAAATGATAGCTTGGAACCGGGTGAGCAATCTGGAGTCTGGCCAGTTAAACACTTGGCAAAGTTCATGAAACGACCGTATCCAATTTCGAAGGCTTAATTCGATTTGCGACAAACGGCCAATTGCTGCTGCTGCTGCGGAGGCTGAGGAAAAACAGAACCTTGGACCTGGTATTTCCTCAAAAACAGTTGAATTTCACCATTTAGGACCGAAGATGTCTCGTAGTCAGGCAAGTTGGGCATCAAGGCTCACCCAGCCTGGTTCAACAGCTCGAAAAAACACCGCGAAGGTTCCAGAAGTACCCAAGATCTAGGAACGAATTCGGGTTGTCTCCTCGATCAGTGGGGAAATTCCTTCTAGGAGCGGATTCTGGCTGCTTCTGCGTCGTAATGGTGGGATCCTTTCTATTCTGGATCGTTGGTGGGCATGTTTACGTCTTCATAATCTATCGTTCCAGGGTATGGACATCCTCATGATTAGTCGAAACCTAGAACGCTTAGTGGTATGAAAGCGATCCTTCATAGGCATCACTTCCTCGCAACTTAGACGTTGTTTTTCACGAGTCATTTTCATCAAACATCATGTTCCACAACTTGTATTTTTTACAGTGAGAATGCGCTTGCAGGCAACCCAATTGTAACACTACACAGACAAGAAAATGCTGAATTTGTAAATAAATGGATGAATGGTGACAGAGTATCCCGTCATATCTGCCAATCCATCACATTTTGCTGCTTCCAATGAATCTCAAGAGTATAATAACAAGTGGTAAGCGAGCCTCGCTAAGTCAAAGCCATGGCTTCATGTTCAGGTGCACCTGCACTGATCAGGTCACCGTTCAAGTTCCGTTCAGGGGGTTACTCCTCAGACGCATTTACACAATATTTCTGCAACCATCGGTCCATTTCCCAGAGGCAGTGCATTACACTTTCACGTCCCGAGTAGCCATGGCTTTCAAGAGGAAGAAGAACCAGCCGGCATAGTGTTCCGTTTCCTTTCAGAGCAGCATAGAACCGCTCCGACTGCACAAAGATATTCTTGTGTGAAAAGATAATTACAGTGACACGGTAAATGAACAGTCGCTTCTCCAATCTACACACTACCTACTACAAATTACAGTTATAAAGAACTTCTTTATATGTTACTGTATTTATATAGTACTGCTGAGGCAAACATATTCTATCTTATTTATATTTTGTAATACAGATAAGAGTTGAAATTAATGATTTTTACCTGCATAGTAACAGTTCCAGCGTTGTTGTCCTCTTCACCGTGGATTAACAGAATAGGCTTCTTGAGTTTATTTGCTAGCATGAATGGGCTCATCTCAATGTAAGTTTTTTGCGCTTCCCATATAGTTCTCTCCTCCGACTGCACATCAAATGAGGACATATCACTGGATCACACAGAAATGCAGAAAAGAGAAGCACTCAGCTCGAGCTAGGTCAGGATCCAAATCTAAAGGTGTGCCGCGTCTTCAGGGAAAGAGGTGGAGAGGACTAAAATGATTTATTACTCTGTCCAGAATTAATCTTCACATTTGAAACAGTACCTGGAAACCGAAGGGAGTGAGTGTGCGATTGTAAGCACCAGACCGACTAATCCCACAACAGAAAAGATGAGGAGCGTGAATGAGCAAGTTCGCTGTCATAAACGCCCCATAAGAATGTCCACCTACAGCTATCTTCTTAGGATCAGCCACCTGGAGCTCAAACAATCAATTATAAGTTAACTTTTTTTTTTTATGAAAGGCAACCTTCAGTTCATGAAAATGTGCACATACGATATCTTTTCTGAAGCGAATAAGTTTCATGAAAGTTCATCGCTGTTTAGAAGCAATTAAATTGCACAAGCTTGTTTAGCCAAAACCAAAGATACATCTAGGAGAAAAAAGTGATACATACTCCACGTCTAATAACCTCATCAACTGCTGCTTGTGCACTGGCTATAAGCTGCTCCACATACCTGAAAGTAAAATAATTACAGCAGGATTTACTTATCGTTTGACCAAAAAAAATCCTCAACCTCAACCCAAGAGCATGGGCAAGCATTGATCAATCCGCATCTCACAGCTATGCAGCTCTTAAATCAGCAAGTTAATTTAGCGTGCCAATTAATCAGTATTACAAAAACCAAGAGTTTGCTCTGTTTCGAACGTGTTCAGAGAAAGAAAGTGAGACACAAAAAACTATTGAGTTCCTTTGCAATACCGATCATTAGCTTCTTCGTCGCCCTCTCCTATGATTGGCATAGTAGGTCCATCAAGGATAGCAAACCTGTGAGATTGATGAATCAAAGAGTGTCAGTTGATAAAAAAATTACGAGGAAAACAGGCTTACAAGACAGAGAGGCATTTACTGGGATATGTGGGAGGAGATACAATATTACCAACGCTACCACGATCGGGGTAATACGACAATACAGGCCATCTGTCTAGACAGCAGACCACTTACTTCTTTTGAAATTACAACTACAATGTATTGCTTCAAATTAACCTCAAGCCATTCACCTCACTGACCATAACATCAAGTAGCAACTTACCCTCTGGACAACCACAACAAAGCAGAAGTAGATCCAATGCCGGCGAACGTATTTGGAGATCCCCGCATCTGTCCAGCATTATCCTTATTTTTGAATTCTCGAGGATAAGCCCACATTAGCATAGGTAGTGGGCCGTCTCTAGAAGGGTCATAACTAGGTGGTAAATACAGAGTTGCCATCAGTTGGACACCATCATTTCTCTTGTACTTGATAATCTCTTTTTTGAGATTCCGTAACTGGGGATATGGATGAGGGAAATTTGTGACTTGCGTAACTCTCTGTTCTGGCCAGGTCCGCAAATAATATTGAGGTGGATCTATTTGTGATTCCTTTGATATAAGAAGTTTGAGATTTCCAACAGATAAATCAGTATCCACTTTATCTGACATAAGTGCGGCAACATTTTCAAAGTATTTTTCCTTGTCACTCTCCCATATACGTTCCTTCTTGCCGGTCTCCCTGCAAACAGAGCAAATCAACGATCAAAAATGTTTGAGTTTGATGTGCTAACAGCATTGAGCGGACCTGGTTGGGAGACTTCTGTATTCCACTCTATCTGCAACAAATAATAAATTTCGAGAATATTTGTAGCTAAAAAAGAATCACTTTTTCGAGTTTTTTTTTAAAAACTGTGATTTACAGGCATTTGAGCACTCATTTAAGATCTATGACTCAATTGACATGAAAAAGAAAAGTAATTAAGCGCGTATTCAGAAAGATTACGTATCAAATAGGTCTATAAAAGGAACATAGCCATCGGGAGAGGCGCCACTGCCGTTTAGCAATAAACAGCTCTTGCCATCACTGTTTTTGAGTTGCGCCAACACGTAAGTTCCAAGGACTGTTCGGCGCAACATTGGATTTCCAGGATCGGAATACACATCTTCTGTTGAGCGATCAAACAGGATGCGAGGCTCCACATTCGAGTCCTCTGGGGCTATAATCCACGTTCGGGTGCGGCGGGTCTTGTGCCACGACTCATAAACTAATGCCAAGGACTCGTCACCCCATAACATGCCTCTGCTCTTCAAAGAAACCGTAAATATGTTAGGCACAGATGTATTTTAATGCATGAACATTCAGACATCAGTATTCGATCACAAACAGCCCTACCACTCGGGGAGAGGAAGCAAAGCAAGACAACCATTCAGGATACTCCTGATCAAAATTAAGCAGTAAAAATGAGCGTAACGACACATGCTGTCTAGGAGTAACATTCATAATCAGTCAGAATAGATTTCATAAATATTCCAAAATATTCTTATGATTTTCTTGCAATTTCACAAAAAGAGTGCTAAATCAAGTGAGTGAAAGGGAATTTTTGAAAAGAAAAGAAAAAAGTTACCCGTATCGGAGATCTGTTTTGGCTATAATTTGTGGCTCAGTGTTACCCAAGGTTTCAGCGAGTTCCGTGTATACAATGTCACGAGGAGAGGCATCAACTTTAGGGTCACCTCCGTCCTGTGCTTCTACCCTGATTTTGAACAGATGTTTCGTAGGCGCAAGGAGCAAATTATTAAGACAGATATTGAGTCAATCGTTTGTAAAATCTTTTCTGTCTAGAATAAACAGCAAACGAATCACAACAATGATGAGAAAACTATTACAACCAATATATTTATCAAACAATGCGCTGATCACTTGCTTCAGACAAGAAACATATATGCGAAGAACGACCAAACAATTGAAAGGACTCATGAAATACTCCTGATTAAGATCATGAAACATGACTTTACGATGAATGAGAGTGTGCCCGCACCAGTACAAAGATGCCGGCTTGTCGGGACGCCAATTGACGCCTCGCCGACCCTTTCGTGTGCTGTTCGATGCAATTGATATATTCTCAGCAAGGGGCAAATCACAAATTTCTTTGACAAATTCGCCATTCCTCCGCCACACCTCAATCTTTTTGGGAAAACGTCCCCAGGGTACATTAAATGAATATGGTCTATGAAGGGAATCAACGAGTAGAAAATTACAGTCAGGTGAAGCGTCGACAGATGTATAAATCGCCGGTGATCCGATATGCCGCACTGTTCCATCGAGGGTTACTAATACTAGCTGTGTTGTTGTGTAAAAATCAAAAAGATCTTCATCATGCTTGTCCTTTAAAAGGTCTTGGTAAGTGCGATTCTGGACAACAAGTTTCTGCTCGTTGGACTGAATATTTGGGCAAGCTGGAGACAGAGGCTTTTTGGGAGGTGATCCATGCGAGGCAGGGATAGTGCTAACTACGATTGTCTTGTCGTCAACCCAAGAATATCTGAAAAATGTATAAAAAAGCCAATAAAGCATTAGATCATGAACATTCAATATTGTCTCAGGCAGTCTATGGACTCTGTAATCCATCAGTCTTTCTCCAGATAAAATAATTTCAGAAGAAGGCGGAAAAAAGATACACAACTTCCTAATGACTTAAAAAGAGATTCAGCTCCTTTGAATATCCACCACTTACAATCGAAAAATGGTATTAAGGCAAACTTGTGGGGGGCCGATCAGCTTTCGGGCTTGCCCTGTCTTCACATCTGCAACCCATAGACTCAGCAATGAGGGTGGGCCATCCTCCTGCATAACATCAAGTGGATTATGTCAATCACATCATGTAACCCTTCACATGATCCAGAAGATGAGAAAATCTAATCAAGGAAATTTGCAGCACAACGATCAACTCAAACTATCCCCATCTCAACCGAAGGTTGAAAGTGGCAATACACCGACCCACAACAATAGGAACCATAGCCGACCAAAAATCTCCAAGGCAATTCATACTTAAAGACCAATATTGGAAACTAAAGCACGGATTCTTATGCTAAAATCCTACAATTAGTATCAGCATAGGCAATTCAGAAACAGAAATCTTAATCTGAAAGACATATACCTCTTCAGGGACTCGAACACTAAACGCTATATGCTGAGCATCTGGTGACCTTCACAAAGCAGCACAAAACATCAAAATCCAATATTGGACGAAAAGACGAGAAGATAAATCTGAGAGCAAAATTCTTGCTTTACAAGAGAAAGAGCGATGCATAAATCTATACTATTCGATAGCAAAGACCAAGTACGCAGTTTACGAAATTCTAAGTTTGACAAAGCTTACCAACTCACGAAGTTGATTTTGGCACCCTCGGGAAGACCAGAAACAGACCGCCCAGGACCTAACATCCCCTCGTCAAGAAACTTATGGATGTTGATTCCTGTGTAAAAGGACCTGAACAAAAGCTTTATCGCATCCGCACATGCTCTACTTATCAGCCAATCCCAACACAAGTACGCCAACCACTCGAGCGTTCCGGCTCATATTCCTCATTTGTTAAGAGGAAAGTATACAAATTTACGAGTATTTTATGGCTTCATTTAGTTACTCACGTGATATCAAAACCAGGAAGCCATATGGATTCAATCATACATTGGACTTCAACACATAAATACGCTGATAACCATATCATAACAAACGCTATTTAATTCTATCATTTGGACTTGAAATGTTTAGAAGTATAATGATACCCGCACACACTGCGTTATCAAAAAAAAAAATCAGAGCTGTCGAAGGCACAGGGAGAAACAAAGCTTACATCCTGCTTCGGGCATTGTAATCAGGATCGATCCGCATTCCTGCAAGCTTAAGCTCCGGCTTTGCGAAATCAGCCACAGGAGGCAACGAGCGTCGCTGCAAGAATAGGATCTCATCCCGCTTAGGTGAAAATGAGAGAGCAGGTGTCGACGGTGCGTCCACAATCTCCCTGATCTCTTCTGGAGGGAGTTGATACCCTAATACCGTTCATACAACAGAGAAATCGATTACTTTAGTTGGTCACCTTACAAAGACTTTTATTCGAAGTAGATTCAACATTCACCAATTTGTATCCACAAGTAAACACGAAAAGAATCTCAGTTGCATTCCCCCAAACTGTCATTAGAAACAAACACGGTCAGCTGGAAAAATGAATTCATAACACACCGACACATCCACGAAACTTGGGATAAATTGCCTGTTAATACTTCATGCGGGTTCCTCCAGGCATTTTCTAGATTAGATACAGAAAACTCCCAGGACATGTGTAGCTTCTTGGACATACCTACACAACTCTGAAAATTTACTACCACCCTGAGAAGAGTGGAAGTGTAATCCAATTTATCTGTTTAAGGCTCCATACCATTGGTGTCGACGGAGCCATTCCCCTTGTCATCACTCAAGGCTACCACCGACCACCTCCTGGGGAAGAGCTGCGTCGGCTCACTACAAAGAGTTGCTCTAGAGCTCTCCAAGCTGGAGAAGCGCCGGGGTACGCCCACAACCCAGCTGGACTTCAAGCTCTTGTGCTGCTGCTGCTGCGTAGCTGCAAACTGATATACCCATTTTCGATAGGATGAACAAGTGCTCAGCAAACAACCAGAGTAGCCTAATTTGCTCGAGGCGACGTACATCGCCACCCAACTCTACAAAAATCCACGACCTCCTTCGCAAAGAAATTCAAATCTCTCGCAGAAGGATACCGGCTCGACAGACGCTGCTCTCCCCAAATTTTCCTTTGTGCAACAACTTCCTCCAAATCTGGTTGCTACGACTCACGCGTTCTCTACTGAACGCTGCAAAATTTTCGTGTTCTTGTTGGACCGCATACAGCAATTACTTCATGAATTGTCAGCGAACTCAGCACAATTGAAAGGATTATAAAGCAGAGGCGTTACAAAGAGAACTTGAGCATGGTGGGCAGGTCAGGGCTCCCGAGCTCAACCGTGTTGTTCATCCATTTAGAGGTCACGTTCCAGAAAAAGGCACAGTCGACGAGCTCATATCACCAGCAGAATGAGATCAGCACATCTCGACGACTATCTTTCTCAAGTCCACAACCCGCACAGATATGCGGCCGAACGCTCTCGACAACTGTCAAAAGGAAATACACGCGGATTGTGGCGTAAAAGAAAAAATCATCTACCCCAAACCTCGTCATCCGAAGAGTGCCCCTGCTCCTCTCTTTGATATCGACGACAAGCAAAGCCCGAGTTCGGTGCTAGTCCTCCAGAGTCCATTACACTCAGTGGCTTGCAGCAGCTTGGCTCCCTGGTTGAACACGATTCTTACCCAAATATTCTAAAACATTCAAAAATGTTCTACAAAGTACCACAAAATTTGACCTACTCACATACAAATATGAAATCCAAGAACCGATCATACTTTCGTCTTTTCAAAAGAAAAATAGATGAGTTATTTATAGATGTATGCTGTAGTATCTGTATACAGAACTTTTCAATGCTTTCCATCACTTGACAAACTTGTGAAGAATGTAACTTCTCCTTCCGTGTGTTGGAAATTTCTGACAGGAACAAGCGCAAATTTTCTGCATGTGGCAACACCAATTAAGCGAAATTAAACAGATGAATGAGGATGAGTAAAACGAGCACAGTCCGCAGATCATAGGGGACTCTAAACCAGGGAAGGGTTCCTAGCTAATCTTCTTGAACTCGCGCCGGTTCCTGGTTTCGAAGACAGGTTTGTGAAGTAAAACGAGAACAAGACTCGCGAAGATTTATTCGAGTGGATCACCGAGGAGTTTTCTGAACTGCTCACGGCCATTACTCACATCCGATGCAGAGCAGATGACATGGTCTTGGGAGAATGGTAAGCAATTTGCGAACACACTCCCAACAGGAGCGAAAAATTACTGGTGTACACCGAGGGAGAATGGTGTGAAAAGCTTGAGGAAGAATGTTTGTGTCAAAGGATTCGCTCCCCGGAAGCCCGTTACGTGTATGAAGATGCCGAGCGTGCCATATCCCTGCATTTAACATGGTGCATCAGTCGCGGAAAGACGCTGCAGCCTAGGGGTTGGTCAAACTGAACAAATGCTGAAAGCATTCCACGGCATTTCAGTGTGAAGCTGTTAGATTGAAATGTGATGATGTAAGACTATTGTAAATGTGTGTTCCTTCCGCATCGCAGGTTTGAAGTACTCGTAGAAGACCTTTCTTGGACTATTTAAATGAACTGGTACGCTCATTACAATCTCAAGGTTGTGCTTCGCAACAGTTCAAAATCCTACATAGTGACCTTCGGTACACCCCTGGCAAATCACCAGATGATGGGCAGGGGGAGGGATTGTACAACATTCCCTCCATTTTTCCGATCATGAGGAACATGAAACGCACAGATGTTGCTTCAAGATATCAGTCATGGTCTTTTCTTGTAAAGTTGATAAGGACCAGTGATTGAAATGGCACTCACTATATTGCCACTTGAAATTCTTGATCTAAGAATGATATCTTTTTCTGATGTATATATATATATATATATATAGTACATTATTCAGTAGCATTTTGAGCCACACCAGATAATTACTGCGAAGTCCTTCCCAAGTATGAAGTCATCTGTTGTGCGACGATGCCAATAGCAGCTCCACCAAAACCCAACAGTACACTTATCACCTCACTGCCTGCTTTGAAGCCCAAAATTGTCACCTACACCACCACCACCACCACCATCACATCCGAGTAAGGAGTCGGGAGACATAGATGGTTGAAAGACATTCGTAAAGCAACAAAAATGCTTGTCCCATACCTTCGTTATAGTGTTGTCCCACGCCAAGGCTTCGGAGATTGTCACCATAACCTCGAGAGCGAAGCTGTATTCTTCTCTTTCCTTCACTGAAGCATAACTCAAACGACCATCCTTCAATTTTGTGGCCAACTCCATCTGTTTGAGAACCGTCACAAGTTCAAAAGTCAAGTAGCAAGTCTTGGACATGTATCTCAAAATTTCGGAATTTCGAAATCTAGGACTAGATCATCAAAACAAAAGAACAAAAAAAATAAGATCCATTAGCAAATCAGGAGTGGACCTTTTTGAAAACGAGGGTTGCCCCGTGCCCAAGGTGCATGCTATTTGTTTCTCCACCAGGGAATACAATAAGAGCTAGCAAGCCTATGAAGACGATTAGGTCAAATGTTACTACACCCCTGCGCCAAGTCACAACGAGAAAATACAGTGGTTAGATGAAGAGAATCAATCAACAGCAAAATCTATTGAGTGTCGCAATCGTTCTAAACCATAGATAATTTCAAGGATGTCGAAAGTAAGGTACTGTCCGTACATGATATATGACGTTTTCCTGGTGCCACTCGAAAAAAGAGCTATCAGCAGGAATGCCATGAGCACCCCACAGTACACACAAAAATAGCTTGCGTAGTACTGTCACAACCACCCAAGTGCATGAAGATTTAGTGAAAAAGTTATGAATATAAAATTAATAAACATTAAAGACTTTGAAGCGAACAAATCTGATATGGAATATCTAAATAGTTTCAGAAAAACTATCCATTTATGTGAAAATTCCATTGCGGAACTTAACCTATGAACAGATTTGAGAAACAATGGAATTCATTGTGGACATTAAAGTTGTCAAGTGTGATGATTGAAATTAGAGGTCACCTTCACACGCCTAGAAAACACAAGGCCAAAATCTAAAACCAACACTCTCACACACCACCACCCAATCATGGAAGAGGCGTGACCAAAGTCGACGGTCACTGCAGTGTGATATTCCGATTTGCGCCGCGGTTTTTGACTCTTGTATTCCTGTGCGAATATCCCAGCTTCGACTACTGGAGAAGTGTCCTTCCCGAAGCACCCATCTTTTAACAAGGTATTCAAGAGACGAGCAGCAAAATATCGTCTACGGAAGTCAGCGATCCCAGCTATCATGAATGATACACTTGAGGTCCTGAATTGAGCCAACTTCGGTCAGAGTTGCTGGTCGGAAAGGTTATGTTCTCTTAGCAGTCCTTAGTTCTGATCGATATTACAGTTTCATCACACTCATCACACAGCAATAACTACAATAATGGGTAGGCAGTACTTACATAGCATGAAAACTGATGACAATGCTGCTTAAATTTACAACATGAACATACCACGCATTGCCTCCCCAAACGGATGGTACGCCTAATAGCCATCATCACCAGAGATTTAAGATTTTATATATTTCAAAATGCAACCCTCAATTTAAGCCCAAGTTTGTTGTGTGCTTGTGATGGTAACTTGAAAAAACTCAGTCTGCACATTTACGCTTTGAAATTATCAAGAGGTTTGACGGGTATAATGCAAACATCAGATACGTGCAGGCAAACGTAGTTATACCTAACCAATGACACATTTCATATATATTTGCATATAGATCCTATTTGTATCATAGACTACAGCATAGAACATCCAAATATAGCATGATATACCATACCTGTAATACCGCGGACGATATATGGAATGCTTGTGTGTAAAATGGCCACACATCCTGCAGCATACCATACTCGCATAGGATTTTTAAACAATTGATGCCCGAACTTCTTCTTCCTGGAATATTAACCACTTATCAGATCTCCACAATCTACAATCCCAAATTCAAGATGCGATGTCCATGCTTGAAAGATGTTTCATTGTTTTAGCGTATATAACAACATTTATATTAAAAATCAATAAAGTCTATTGCTACTTAATCTTGTTTTAAACCTGAACTGAAGGGTCAAGTCAACTTCTTCATTAGCACTTGCTACGTGAAGCCTAGGTTCCCCAATGCCCCCAAGTTAATTCCCAAGCTCCTCGAATTGGACCGCAACACAATGATAAAAAAATGGAGTGAGAGGCGGTGGGACATACGTGAGGAGGTCACCCGATTGCTGGAGGAGGTGAGCGGCCAACAGGAGTGCTGGAAGGTCAACTTGGTCGGTCATTATCTTCTCTGTCTGAGATGGAACGACGTCAGAATCCATTCCACCAGTCATATTGTCATGACCTTCAACCTCATTATTCCCTTCAGAAAATGCTTCACAGCTCCCTGGCAGGCGACATCTTGGATCCGCGTCAAGTTGGGTCATACAAAGTTGTACCCAACGATCTTCCAGTTCCCTATCCACGAAAGAATTCTTCAAGCAATATTCACAATGGATCGAATGCAATTTAGATTGCATTTTTCTTTTGCGAGATATTACTCTCCCTCTGCGCCAAAAATCCGGACCCTGAAGCATCAAATTACGCAAACATGTGAAGTTCGAAAGTATTACATGGAAGTCGTATCTTGACTGGTTCATCGTTGGTGTCACTAAGATAAAGAAACGCAATCCTGTCTTGTATTTCGATAATGAATTATAAAGACGAAGAGACTCACTTCATGAGAAAGCCGATGCATGATCTCTTGCACAGTGTTTCTGGAGGCGCCAGGCACCAACCGTAAAGATAATGTACATATTAGCATGTTGCTGCGAGCGGCAGCTAGCAGAAGCTGTCGCTTCAGGACTCGCAAAGGGATCGGATTTGTCCACGCTATGAAAAGCTGAATATTACGAAATGTGGTTGACAACGTGTTTTTAAAAAATACAGGTACGATTGCAACATGGCAAGAAAATGCTCAGTCTGAACTACACAAGTAATGCTGTCATTACAATAACAAGGGAGAGGTCACAGGTAAATTCAAGGGAAAAGCAGGACTCAAAAGCTCACAACTAGAACGTGTGACAGGATCAGTTCAACTAAGTACTCCACAAGAAGGTGCAACTACCAACATCTTTGAAAATGAAAGGAAAAAATTCCATGCATGCATGCATTGCAGTAACTAAGTAAAGAATCTGGCATGTCATACAGGAGGAAATATTTCTTACTGTAAGGTCGGCCAATTTCTGATGTGGCAACACTTTCTGTCGCATTTCAGCCATATCCGACTTCGAATTGAATCCATACTTGGTTGCTATAACCTTTCGACAAGAACATAAACCCAGCCAGATTCAAACCCACGAGAACTATACGTCCAATCCAGTCGGGCTACCTTGTTCTTTTCCCTACCACATGAATTTGTAGGAAGGTCCTATTGATAACGGAGGGGAGAGAAAAATAAAATTGACATCGAAATCAAAGTAGGAAGAAGAATTGTCGAAAGTATCAGAAAAACAGCAGTAAGAATGTCATGTGTCTTGCACCACCGGGATGAACATAATCGATCATGTAAATGAAATAAAATACTAACCAAAGCAGGTGGACACGAATGAGAAAAACGGTTCAATAGAAAAGTCTCAGAGAGCTTACCATATGCCGCATAATAATCAGCATGTTCACGATGACGATATCAGGAGTCGTATAAAGCACCGAGAGCACATTCATAGCATAAACTGTATAAAATTCAAAGCTCGATTCAGTTGACCCTTATGCATCAGGAGCAACTGCAATTTCACAGTAACACTGAAATGAGTAAAAATAAATTTGTAGTGAGAATTGTGATGACCCGGACACTTACAAGTAATGCCGAGAACCCATTGTGCTATTGCAAAAGGTGAACCCCAATACTGCCGATTTATAATGCCATTCGTACCACCTTCAAACCAGTAGATCAGAGGCAATGATAATGGAAAAAACGCATGATATATGAGTTCCTTATAAAATGTCATCCTGCAATTCACGACGGTAAAGCCCAGTTATGTCAACCGTCTTGACTACGTAAAAACATCCCACTTTCAAAGCCTTGGGTCAAATTTAATGTAGCTGTTTATATGCAAAAATGCTACCATTGCAAAGCTGGGTACAGGAACTTCATGCTGAGGTTTCATCAGATTCAATCTAGAGACAGAAACTATACATGCTTTGCTGACTGAATTCCGGATACGAAGCTAACTAAAGTATTACAAATAATACTGTTGCTTCATTCCCTGAACAGTTAAAAAAATCTTCCAAATGAACATTTAAAGCAACGAAAAGAATCTAAAGCGATAATTGGCGAGTTATGGCCAAGGCTTGATACCCAAAGTCTCACTGCTCCAAACCGCAATCGAGCAAATAGTGCAGCGCATTGCCCTAGCTACAGGTGGAGGGAGTTGCTAGACTAAGATTTGCGCAATTTTCAACCCCTGGCAAGAGGGAGGACCGATCGTACCACTGAAATTCGACTCGAGCTTCTGCTTCAAGTCTCCGGCAAAAACTCTGCCGCTCGAATTCCTTACAAAAACATTGATACTGGCCTCCGGCGTCCGTGGATGATGAATGGGTTGAGTATTCGTCAGCCTGCTCATCACCCTCCTGGAGCGTACCTCCGATAGATACATCTCTCCTCTCCCCTGCTTCTATGTCTATCCCCATCGCTGTACCCTACATGCCCAAGAGAAAACAGCAAACCCAAACCCAAACCCAACCCTATTGCTGCATCACCTTCATTCTACTCACAAACGACTAATGACACCTGATAGCTAGAGAACCTAGAAAAAAATATATTCCAAGGTTTCTCTAAATCTGAATGATGCAAATCTAGCCTCTGTTGCGTGGTACGGCAATGGGATTCTCAGAATTCATCTTCAGAGTCCCTCCACACACTTTTTAACAATACAAGTCAAGCACACTCACTACCACCAAACTCCGCTTGCGGCGACTCTTGATGGATTGATTTAGCATCGAGCACGCGCAAACAGGAATTTGGAAGTCGAGGCGATTTTTGTCAGATACTCAGCTACCGGCATCTTGAATTTGCTGCCAACATGGTGGTGTCTACGGACTACTTTCACTACCGTTTTGGTAACTGTTCACCAACCCGATCATGACACCGCGGATTACAAGCACCTTTAAGGGACACGATTCCTCCCAAAGTCTAACTTCAAAGAACATGACATATGTACATGAGTTCAGAGGTGGAGATTGCAAGTCGTTCGAGTCTATGGCAATGTTCTTGGTCTCGGAGCTCTAGTCAATCTAACTTCTTGGGGGATCGAGGTGCTTGGTTTCTTGTAAGATAGTGGCAATTCTCGGCTCAGCTCAACAGTGGAAGCTACCAGAAAACCCTAAAGGCAAAGACCTGGGCAGTCAGTCCTTGGAATTGATACGTGTGTATATTTCATAAACATTTTAAATTTCATGTAATATGTGTCTAATGAAATGTAGGTGAAAAATGGTGTTTTGTGCTTGTAGAAATTATCTACGAACAATCGACACCCAAAACTAGCGCCCCGAGAGATGAATACTTGATAGTAATGTTTATCCAAATAAATGTTTTGGACAAGCTAAAAAAAATTAGCAGGCCAAGTCAAGGTGGGAACTTAAGGTAACGAGAAGAGCTAAGCCCTAGAGAAGGTAGCCCACAAAATATACCATGAAAGAATTTGAAGTTGGGTTTTTCCTACAATCTTGAAAGAGTTGGCAATTTCTCCAAGTGTAATGACGAGCCTCCGTAACACTTGCTCTTCAATAAAAATAAACAAATATTTATCTAAGATTGGATTTTTCTCTTGACCCAACTCCCACATATGATAAGCTGTCAAGCAATATGTACTTGTGAATTGGGTCTCACTATTTGTTTTGATAACTTGTTCAAAATTACACAGTTAACAAAAAAAAATTATATCTTTTTTCTTCTTTCTAAAGATCAAAAATTTTAAAACAAATATTAAATATATATATATATATATGAATATTTTTAAATAAAATAATGCAAACATTGAAAAAAATTTAAAAACAATTGTTTAGTTTTTAAAGTCATTAGTATTGATTATAAATGAATAAATAAACAAAAAAAAAAACACACAAATATATGTATATATATATATATATATAGGAATGATAAAGCAATCCATTTCAATAAACATTTATATTAAATATTTTTTGGTATTTTTTTAAGGTTTTTAATTTTTAATAATTAAAATTTCTAAAGAAATTTAAACAACATTTAATTAAAAACTTGAATCAATCTTGTTAATTATATGCACATATAAAGAATATCCATTTTCCTAAAAATAATAGATGATAATTATTGCTAGAACATGAATTTTATGTATGATCATTAATTTTGAATTTGCTAAGTCAAATATAATTAAACTTGCATGAACTCAAGTTTAGGACTTTTTGAATACAAGAAAGTAGAGAATTTCTTCAACTAGAAAGAAACAATATAAATAATTTAATTTAATTACTTATATTCGTAAATAATTTTTGATTTGATTTGATATTTTTTTATATAAAACAATGTAAAAGACATAATTTTTTATTCATACTAATAAAACTATTGACATTTTATTTTCTAATAAAAATTTAAATTTTATAAAATCTATGTCAAAGTCTTACATTTACATCTCCCGTAAGAATTTGGCAATACTATATAATTTCAGATAATCTCTAAGTACTATAAACATTGTAATCAACTTATCAGTAAATTTGGCTGCAATTCACATGTGTCTTAATGCATTTGTCCAAACTCCTAAAAAACAAGTGTATTGAAGCTAAACTTGATCCTGCTTAAATATGCAATTCAGTAAAATATGCCTGTAATAGACCATACCTTTAATGCACTAGTATTTTTATTTCTTTCAAAAGCTTAGTAGATAATGTAGTAGATAAATTGATATTACTTTAATGTACAAATCAATCAAATATGATTATGTTTAATAAGAGCATTGATGCGCCCCAAGAACAAATTTAACTTAAATACTATTTTTTTTCTTTGAGTTTTTCATAAGAATCAATTATAGTTATGATGAAGACAATTTTAAATAAGATAAAATAATTTTAAAAGTACTATATAGTGTTAAGTTCTAATAATAGAATTTTTTTTAATTAAAATTAAAATTAAAATTAATAAACTAGAAAAACATAGATTTAATTATATTAGGATACAAGTGTTTTGTTGCCTCCTCTCTATCATGACGATTATTGTATTCTATAAAGTTGCTTGTGAGTAGAAGAGAAGAGGTCTGGTGGTAATAAAATGCTTTGTTAAAATCACTAATTTGATCTAGGGGACACCAAATATTCATACTTATATTTATATCACAATGCTTCATTTTTAATATTTTGTATAATGTTTTTTTTAACAAAATCTCGATTTTCTTAATGTTTAGGTTAGACAACATCCAAATATAGACACATAAAATAAAAAATAAATCTTCTATATAAAAATATATTATTTATTTATTTATATACAAATTTACGATGATCAAAACTACTAATACAAGTTTAAAACCAAGTACATGAGACAATAATTTCTACTTTAGTATCACAATTATTTACTCATGTGATTGATTTTAAAATACATTTTATATTTATATTGTTTTGTTTAATTGACTCTGTAAAAATTATTAATAAGAACACACCTTTTTAGATTACTCATACTGGAAGGAATCATAGTAATAAATATTTATAGAAGAGGTAAAAATTAGTGAATAAATTTAATAATAAAGAATGAAAAAAGAATAAAAAATACATAAAAGAGACAAATTGGTGCTAAAACAAAAATAGTGATACCAAGAAAATTATGAATTAAATGAAAAAAAATTAATCAAAACTATAAATAATAATAAGGGCTACTTAAACTAAATAAGAGAAGCAGAAAAAGTATCTAAAATTGTTAACAGGAGAGGCAAAAAAATTAAAGAAGCAACAAGAAGAAGTGCCAAAAATTAGTGAAACAAGAATCATAGTAAAAATGAGACGATTTTTTATCGTGATGTTGTCTCTCTTGTATACTTATTTTAATCCATGACATTCTAATATTTGCTTATATGACAATAACTACTTTATATCCTTATATATATATATATATATATATATATATATTGTTTTACAGATTAAAATCTTCAAAATTTTGACGTGTTCAAAATAAGAAAATTATGTAATTAACTCAATAAAAACATAATAGATTCAAATTTATAAATGAAATTTAGCAAATAAAAAATTGAGTCCTTTTTCTAAAAAACTATATACTGTAGAGTATCATATTACTTACTCATAAATTGTCATTTTTTATTCTAAAATTTTAAAAATGGTTTTTTAAAAACAAAGTTAGATCATTATTAATATTCAAAACTTCAAAGAATATATTTTTATTTTAATTAAAAAAATAGAAATCCAATACACGATACTATTGTAACAATAGTACAACTAAAAAATAAAAAATTCTTTAAAAATTAGTAACTTGAATAACCCAGATTATCTAAGATTATAAGTTGTCTTCTTCATTCTATCATATCTCTATATAACATGCTTAATTAAGACTTAAATCAAAATTATATATACATATATTTCCAATTAAAAATTTCTAAACATCATAATATATTTTTACTACTAAAACTTGAAACACAACATGCAGAAATAATAGGTGGTCAAATGAATTTTATTGGATTTTTTTTTAAAATCCAATAAATAAAAACCATATTTTTTTCAAAGCGACATAACTCCATTTATTATTATTAATTTTCTAATCAATGCAGTTAGTTTATTTAAAAGTTTTAATGTTTTTTGCAGTTGAAAAGTGCAATCTTTTCGTTTAAATCTTTCGTATTATTTTGATTTTTCCTTGAATACTCCAGAAAAAGTTTTTTTCTTAAATCTTTAGAAGTAAATTATATATATATATATTTGTATATATATATATATATATATATATATATATATTAGAGTAAAGAAACTTATTTATGCCACAAAAAAAGATTTATGTTTTGTTTGTGCAATACATCGATTGATTTATTTTTTCAAATTTTCAGTATTACTGTGAAGTTTTAAGGTTCATTTGAAAATAATAAAAATACACATTTCATCTAAAATTTATTGCAAAAATTGCAAAATAAAAATTTGAAATGAAGCTTAGGTACTGTTTGATTTTATTTATAAATTATTGTAGAGTAAATTGGATAGTTTTGAGGAAGAATAATTATAGGAAGTCTTATTAGATGTTTAGATTTTTCTTTTGATACACACATGGTTTTTTTGAAAATAAAATATAACAATCTTTATTATTGCAAATGAGTGCATGTTGTTATGAAATTAAAGAATTTACAACAAATAATTCTTTATCTTTTCTTATTAATATATACATCTTCACGGTTTAAATAAATTCATTTTCATGTCAAAATAGATTAAAAAAGAGTAAATAATCTAATGCATCATCAAAATGTCATAATTATAAAAATATACTTTAAATTAATTAAAGTCCTAAAATTTATTTTAAATTTTTATTATGTACAACAAACAAGCTTATACATGTGGTTGTTATGAAACTAATATATTAAATTGTAATTAGTTATAACTTTTAATGGAAAAATTAGAACCATCCTTAATCATTTCAAAGTATTTTATGTGTAATAGTCTTGGTTTAAGACTTTCTACAGTTTTTCATTTTGAAAATTTCTTAATTATTTACTATATATATATATATGGAACTTGTGTTAATCATTTTTTAAAATATTTAATTATTTTATGTTCATATTATTAAACACATAATATTCTAAAAATATAAGTTAAAATTTAAAAACATAGTATTTTTTAAATTAAAAATAAATTGCAATATTGATAATAAATCATATGTGTATATTCATATGTACGAGATAAATATTTGCATGATCATGACATCAAAATTTGTGTATGATAAGCTGTGCAAATATATTTTTATAGTCATTAGAGGTTTGATTTGTGTAGACTTTAAAGGTTTGGTTTACCACAACTTGGTTTGTAGAAGGAGCAGATTTTATTCATCGTAAAAATCCTTTAAAAAAATTCTATCCAGTGATAAATTGTTTTTGTAAGTTGCACAATGTGAGAAGCTTTGATTTTATGGTATTGTGTATAACCATTCAAGAAATAAGTATTTTGCATGTTTTTCAACTATATCAAATATTCATAGAGAAAATAAACATAAGAGCATTTTTCAATTGCCATGTTAAATCAATCAAATAAATTTATATATAAAAAAAATTGTTTGAAAAAAGTACAATTGTAACAAATCAGGTTATGCAATTAGCTAATATTATATATGGTGCTGAAGGTAGCCCATTAAACTTTTTCAATTTATTTGATATAGTTGGAATTCATTTTTATTCTGTATTTGATGTATATCAGGAAAATTAGAATCTCATTAAATCCTCTGTTTTCTAGTTAGGAAGAACATCAAGCATTTTAATCTAAGACATAGATTTCTTTATTACAAATAAATTAATAAAAATTAAATTTGAAAAATATTTGGAGTGATTTAATATTATAATTTAAACAAAATGGAAACATGGTTTGATAGATCTATGTTTTTATCTATTTATGATAATTTTCATAAATATTTTTTGGAATTTTATTAACTCATATATCTTATGTAACCTCATCTCTCTCTCTCTCTCTCTCTCTCTCTCTCTCTATATATATATATATATATATATATATAAAGATAGATATGTATTTTATTAAATCGATATCTAAAATATTCTTAATTTAAAGATGGACTGTTATATAAACGTGATTTTTTTTTTTTTTTTTTTTTTTTTTTTGAAAATAACAACAATTGAAAAAAATACAAATTATTGTTTACCATATTTAATTTCACTAAGGTTATAATAATTTTAAAAATTAAATTTGGATAAAAAAATTAATTTTTAATCAAATTATAAATATACTGTGATATTGTTTTCAACATTCATGATGTTAACATCCATGACATTACTTTGTGTTGGTCCATTTGGTTTCATCTGAAGCAATAAAACTAAAAAAATGTGTAAATTAACTTATTATTGAAAAGGATGGTTTTCGTGCTCATCAAATCCACGTATTTAATATCAAATTTTCTTCCCTGAGATTTCATCAGATAGTTCATAGATTTTTATTTGAATGCATGCTATTGTAGAAATCCTCAATACCCACTATCAGGATTTTGAGAAATTCATGACCGGGTGTGGAAGATATTTGATGTAATAATATATTCTATTTCCATTTAAATTAATGATAGAACTAACTAAAAAAATCTAAGTACACGCATAGAAAAACCTAATAAAAATTGAGAATAAATTTCCATTACTCTCTGTAATCACCATCAAGCAGTGAGAACATGTGGAGACCAGGCCAGCTGCTGCAGATGCTTGAATTAATGGATGAATGAAAAACGAACGAATGAACGAATGCATTAGTGTTGCTAACCTGTTGATTCATCCATCCATGTTCCATTCGTCAACTCAATCAAGCCCTGCAATCTGCTGTTCTGCACACCATTAAAGTCCTGTCATATGCCAAAGATTTAAAAATAATGAGTAAAATTAAGTATTAGTTGGTCGATTTATTTTTTCTATTTTGTTTTTCCACATTATCGCCAAAACAACAACATTGGTATTAGTGTTTGTGTAATGTCGGGTGAACGATCTTTCAATTAATAAGTACTATAATTATGTTCAAAGAACTGTTGAATAAACGTGAAAAAAGTACTTTAATATGTAGAGGGAAAAAAGAGATTTTATTACACTTTTTTTAAAAAATAATAAAACAAGTTCCATGCTCAACTTTGTGAGGCCGGGAAGCGTAGGTAGTTGGGCCCCCATCCGACGGACGAGAGAGGGCAACGGGGATTGAATGATCGTTAGGATGGCATGGCACGTGGCAACACGAGTCCAGTTGGCAAATGGCCAATGATGATCATGAAATTTGCAGGGAGGATGAAGATGGATGAGGGAGAGTGAATTCATCCATCGCACTCTCATGATGCCAGTGAAAGGAGCGTGGTCAGTGATGTCAGTGTCCACATGCTAATAATACGCCGATGCAACTGTCCGTCGCAGTTTGCTTTGCCAGCCTTTCCCGTGGTCCCTATCCTACTTGCTTCGATCGAGGAGGAGGAGGAGCTGGTGGAGACGGTAATTGAGGCTTTGGTCGTTCGAGCGGACCTACAGCTCGACCAGTGAACCTCAGGGGGAAGTGTACTGATCAGCTGCTCGAGCTCAACTGCGAAATCGCGTCTTCTGCTGGGAGCGGGGGGTTGGTTAGTGACGGTATGTTTGGCCGTGGTGTAGCAATTCAGTGGATGCGAGGACGTTTGAGAGCGAAATGCTGCGTGTTATGGAGGGCGAGGGAAAAGGTAGAGTAGCGTAATTGTCATGGCCGGCATTTTCTCCCGATGATGTCGAGTGAGTTCACAGCGCATGTGCGAATGTGCGGCGTACTTGTGCGAGAGTATCCCGCGGGCGCAGCTGTGCACGCTTGTACGAGTGTGGAAAAAATGTTAGTACTCTTTTAGAACGAGTGATTCCTGCCATTGGACAGTCGCTTGTGCGCTTGCAATGTGTACGGAGGTTGTAACTATGTCGTGAAGGAAGTCCGGCCGTGTTGAGCGGGTTAAGGGATGTGTTCTGAAGCGATGAGAGGGGGGAGTCTCGTAGAAGAATCACGACTTCTCGTGTGCCCGCTGGTCGTGTGTATCTGGTGGTTAGAGTGAATGCACAAGAGTGAATTATTAAGCCTCGTATTCATTGAAATGGCAAATTTTTTATCGACGAAATTGTTGTACAACCTCTTAAAACTAGCAAATGTTTACATTTAAAGTTTTTGCTGTCTCGAGTTGTAGAAAAAAATCCCTTAACAACGAGTGTTTCGTGATTGGTTGCTATTGAACCTAGCGAGCTCCCGGTTCAAGGCGATGAACCTCTCGTTTAAGGCTTGTGGAGCTGCTCAATAAAGAGCTTCGATCAGTCAATTGACGACGTTAGTGTGTAGCTTGATCATGTGTATTCTTGGCTCATGTGCCGGCTTAAGCGCAGCAATCATCCCCCCTCCCTCAACGAGTATGGAGCTTTTGGTATTGACAGCTAGATATTTTTCAAGTGACATTTGATTTATTTTTTAAAAATGATGATGATGATTATTATTATTATTATTATTATTATTTTCTATTGTCAGTAATGTCATGCATAGGTATAACTGCCTCTAAAGAGCTAGGCTATTTTCGCACTTTAGTATTGCGCAATTGTGCCGTGGTTGTGAAAACGATAATGAATATGTTGTTGAACATCAGTAAAGCAGACGTCGGATGTGATCGCTACACATGTTAAATGAGTCGCTCTCAAGTGATTTCTCGTGAACTGTAGTACGTGCTGTTGATCTTCACCGAACCTTACAGGACCGTTCGACAGATGTAGTTTGATTTCGAAATACGTCACAATTTTCGCTAGACTAGCATACTTTCCCGCTGGGCTTTAAGTTCGTATCAGAGGCTGGGATAGGCTCGTTTTCTGACATTCACATAAAGAAATTATTCGCATGGTACTTGAACGAGCTTCTTGATCGCAGTTAAGAAGCAGACCGTGCTGCATTCTTTATTTACACCTTTCTCGAATATTGGAGTTCGTAAAATTCTCTTTTGGGCATGTTCTTGAACTTCCACTTTGCCAATTGCCTACGATCTATTCTTATTGGTTTGATTAGGCAAGTGATAGACCTCTAAATAGAGTTTTGGTCTCAGACACGTATTTCTTTCTGACAGGAAGCATGGATCTTCAATCGGATTACTAGTTTGTGGCAAGGAAGTTTGACTGTGATGAAGGCTAAAGGCCAAGAGAAGTAAGTCTCTTAGGAGGTAGTGTCGAAAAGATTTACAATGAAAGGCATTGCAGCTGATGTGACATTGTCGCGGACCGGTTTCCATGACCAAGACGACGACACAGAGTCTCCGTCGAAAGTTGTTGTAGCCCAGGAAGCTGTGGAGCTTGAAAAGCTACAACGACGACTGTCGGTTCGCGATCTTGCAACACAATTTGAGAACGGGCAAGCGGCTGCTACAGCAGCCGCTGCTAAATTGGCCGACGAAGCGGTAGCGGTTCTTTCAATCTGCAATGTACTTTTTACAAATTGTGTAAAGCTTACAAGGCTCATCCTCGAGTCTTGAAAGTTAATACGAGCGTAAGCTCTCCTGAAATTACCTTGAAATGACGTACGTGTTTTTAAAACAGAAAGTAGAAACAAAATATATACAAACATATCATCATCATCATCATCATCGTTATTTGTCTGTTCACCTTGATATATGAAATATTTCTAAGTCTTCCCTTCCGTCCACACCTACAGAAAAGCCCTAGTCCGGTGAAGGCCGATATTAAACGACGATTGTCCGGTGGCCATCAATGCTCACATGGTCATTCCCATGGTCACTCCCATGGTCATTCGCACGGCAATAGCCCCGATTCGAAGGTCAAGAGTCCTGGTGATGGAGCTCCAGTTTTTCGAAGTTCTTTCAGGCGCACCAGTGGAAATATCCGAGAATGTGAAAGGGTATGCAACTTGCTTTTCTGTTTCCTTGGTGATTCTAATTATGTGTCGTGAGTAATGATATTTTATTCCTGTTAATGTTGAAAATCCTGTTCATATCTGCTATTTTCAGGTGGTTGACTAGTTTTTAAAATAGAATTTGCGCATAGTTAAAAAATAGCTGTATGGCTACATCTTCCCCATATCAAATCTTCTTTGTACTGAAATTTTAATAGTACTAGAGTGCATTGTAGCACATGGTTGCTACAAATCAATCTTAATCAAACAGCGTTCGTTGTCAAAGACGTGAACAATAATTTTAGGTTTTTCTGTGATTATTTCGCAAACCGCTCACTGAAAGTGTTCAGCATCGTATTTTGTTCAGCACAAGGTGCAGGAAGTGATGGTATTGGATAGGACAGCACTGACGAAGAAGTTGAGAGTTCTGCTCAGCGAGCTTGCTGGCCGTGTTGCTGGGAGAAACAAAGATGACGTTACCGAAGCTCTTGCCATTGTATAGCTCTCTTGCCTCAATTTTTGTCGCTTTTACTGTCCAATTCACTAGTGTGATATCGAAGGCAAATGCCAGACTTTTTGTGTTGGGGAGCTCGAACTGCACTTACAAGCTTGATACAAGTTTATTATGTTTTCTCCGTGTCGAGGCTGTTGAACACGGTCGCGATTACAAGCTGTGTACATTCGAATTACCATAAAACATTATATTGTGCTGGATCTTGTAGAGGCTGATCTTTGAATGCCGTGAATGAATTTTTTAATTGGCAGATTGAAGCGATGGATTTGCAATGGATACAAAAAGAAAATGAATTGGCCCAAGAGAAGGCCGATTTAAAAAAGACGGCAGCCTTATTTAAACAGGTAATTGGGTCATATTCTCTGCGTTGGACGTTAGTTGAGTTTTTTTCACAAAGTCTAGATATTAAAGATTTTTGTTGCTAATATTTCGGATGCCAGGCATCAGATGATGCTAGAAGGATGGTGGAGGAAGCTCGAGCAAACGCGCAGGCCGAAGTAGAGGCTGCGCAGGCCGCAGTTCTTCGGGTGGAGGCTGCTCTCGAAGAGCAAACGCAGTCCTTAAGTATTGCCGAGAAAGAGGTATGTTGCATTTCCCTAGGATAAGTGACCCTGTTGGTCAAGTTTTCCCTTCTCATTGTGGATGACTTGTGTTGTGTGTTCAGCAAATGGGCCACACCTTGAATGTGTTAACAATATCCTCATTCTCTGAGCATTACGAGAAGCAAACATCTTAACAAAAAAACAGTGGATTCCTCTGAGTCGTTCAATCAGTTACAGCAAATTTCAGATGTGGCGACTTTTTGAACACACCAGCACTGAAACATATACTTAAACTATGTAACTAGAACGGAACACCTTTATGCGACGACACTTGATATTGATTGTATCTTCTGCTGTAGGAGCTCGAGATGATGAGAAAGGAAATCAATGAAGCGCGGAGAATAAAGATGCTTCATGAGCCTAGCAAGGTAAGAGCATTTGAATTTTGATAATGGAATTGTATTCAGTTGCGAATCAGAAGTGATACCATCATTTTCCGTTCTTAACCAACAGATTCTCTCGTGAATTTGTGCAGACAATGGATATGGAGTGTGAGATTGAAGGGTTGCGACAAGGATTGTCTCAAAAGTCCGTTGAAATTGTACAACTGCGCAAAGAGGTATAGCATCAACGAGTCCAGTAAATTCTTGTTAGTATTAAATTGATGATTGCTCTGGCTGTATTGGAATTGGGTCGGATTGTGAATAACTACACAACAGTTATGTTATTGCTAATATTTTGTGGTCCAAGTCCGAATTTTGAGATGGTGTATTTATATAGGATATTTTACTCTCATTATATGGAATAACTTGTGAGTGCTCTTTGTTCGTAAAAAGTTCGAGGTTCGATGCGGCTGCACGAAAAGTTTTATCCTCGTTTACAGTTGTACTGTGAAATTCTGGGCACTTGAAATATTTGGCAAGCTTAATTTTTATTGGATTTACAGTTGCTAGCAGCAAAAAGGGCAGGGCAGACAGGCCATTACGAGCTGCAAGGCGAAGAACGCCTTGGAGGTGCCTTGGCCATCACACAAATTAATGAGGGGGCAGTGGATGTGAGCAAATGCATTATCCAATGGCACCGTATTGCTGTTGATGGAAGCAAAGGCGGACCAATTACTGGTAACATATTTAGTTCATTTAATTTAATTTTTTTGTAAGTAATAGAATTTAACATGAAGTGCGAAGACATGAGAAATAGCCGGAGTGATGTCTCTACATACGTGGAAGGTTCACTCTGATAATGAAAATTATTGAGCGTTTAGGGGTTGACATCTGAGGCCTCTCAAAATTTCTTTTTACGTATACTTCTCAGTGTTTCGGTTAATCTTTGATTGGATTCTGCTCTGCGTAGTGAAAGCACTGTGAGGATGCCATCTTATGTCAAATACCTTTATGCTTGTAGGTGCCACCAGGCCCCAATATGCACCAGAACCTCTTGATGTCGGTTGGCTACTACGAGCTGATTTGACTATGCCAGACGAAAAAAAAGAATCCATTTTTACAACTGGTCCTCTAGATGCTGGTGGGTCATCCAGATTATATGCCGACTCACTAGTGATGATTTATGTCACTTTGAAGTTTATCTAATTTGTTTTAAATGATTTTCTCATGTTGCCTTGAGTGGCTGATTGTAACCTTGTAATTGCAGCTCCCGGGCTTGGAAATTATGTAGAGGCTTTGTTCAAGAAAGGCAGTTCAGAGTTTAATGTAAGACACATGCCTCTGCCTATGAAATGTTATATATGAATTTTGTAATTAAAAAATCTCCAGTATGTCACACGAAGGCTTGAGTATCTGGAAATCAGATTTTCTCTATTTCATGATGACATGAATTATAATTGGATGGGCTTGTTCCCGCTTATGTGGAAACAGATTAGGTTGGTCCAGCAAAATGGAGAGGTATTGGAAAAGCCGCTACATCGTGTGATGCTTATTGATCGGACGCGGATTAAGCTTTATAAAGGCCGCAAAACAATCGCTAAGGAAGAGTATACGTCAATAATTCAGGTGATTATTCTCAAATCTTACCATGTAATTTCCAGCACTTCCGACAAGTGTACAATTAAGTCACTGAGGTCTTGCAGTTTACTTATATTGACATATGTATTTCCAGCACCAATTTATTCAATAATTGCTACTGAAACCCAATGTTCATAATGGCTTTCTTCAGCTATGTGGAGCGCGTGGTGGGGGTCAAGCAGCCTCCCGAGCCTTATATTGGGTTGCCAATAAGGGTCTCAGCTTGATGCTTGTCTTGGATTCTGAAAGAGAACGGAATGCCGCTATTTTATTGGCGAGGCGATTTGCTCGAGACCAAAATGTACGTGTATTACCTCTCGAAATAGTTCCCTGTTTAAGTGCAAATTTGATAAAGAGCATCACGACCATTTGTGGATTTAGACATGTCTTTGATTGCAGCTTCTCTGTACTGAAACTCTTATCTGTGGAGCAGGTAACACTATTTGGACCTGATGATGGGATTTCAGTTTCGAAAATATCTGGACGTCTTCCTTGATTTCCTATGTCATTCAATCAAGATCTGCATTGATGGGTAGACTGTATATCCAGGTGGTATCTGGATGAAGTTGCACCCTTTGCGACTCGTTCGACATTCTTTTGCCATTGGACTGGTATCAAATAGTTCTGGGCGCAGGACCTCTAGGATCCTCCTAATCGCTTCGTTTAGAGTAAATCACATTCAGTTATAAGCGACACTACATGTCCATGCGAACATTCCCCTATTTTACTTGACTGTCTGTTTGTGTTGATATACTCGAAAGTAATGAAACACTTTCTTACTCCGTGAAAATCATGATGCTTTGAAGATTGAACATTTTGTTTTGTATTTGCATGGTGTTGGAGGGTTACAATAGAATCGGCAAATGAATGACTTGTGTATTGACTTGAAACAAATTTTCAAAGATGAGGTTTTGAAAAAGTACTTATAAAATGAAATATTAGTTTGAAGATAAAAAGTAACTTATAAAAAAATATCTATAATTTGGAAATGGCTATGATTTCTGTGTAATATGAAATTTAATGCCTTTATTTGGTTTTTGATATGAACTTTATTGTCTGTTTGTAAACTTTCAAATGTTGTAATTTTTTAATTTTTGATAAATTTTGAATGTAATAATTAGGGTTGGAAAATATCACATAAGTAAATAGACAAAATTTGATTGTCATATTTAGATATATAAGCTAAACTTTATTTATAATAGTGTTACATAATTACTACAATAATAACAATGAATCATGTATTTTTTTAATTTTCTTGCATTGTATAAAGAACTTGTTAAATAATCTGAGTATAAACACTAAATTTTTAGTTTTTGTTATTAATTTTTTTTAATATCAAATTAATCTTGTACAAAGTTTTAGTTTTGACAATCTTATAATTCAAAAAATGAAATATGTATATTTTACAATATTTTTGGTTATATATATATATATATATATATATTTGTATATAAATTTATATTAAAAATTTAATGTAAATTTAACAAAATTAGAAAAAGAAAAAAATAGGTATATATTAAAATATCAATAGATGATAATAATTTTTTTGGATGTTATTAAAAAATATATTATTAATAGAAGAAATATATCATAAGTAAGAATTTTAAGATTTTTTTTATTTTTTTTATTATCATAATAATAATAATAATTATTATTATTATTCTTTTTCTAATACATAATCTTTAGATCATATTTATTTATATTACATAATCTTTAGATAAAAGAATTAATTTAAAATACTTCATATATATATTTTTTATATTTTATTTTTAATATACAATAAAACATAGATTTTTTTATTTTCATTTCTTTATGTTTTAAAAATATTTAATTAAAAAAAATATTATATATTTTTTGATTTATGAAAAATTAAAAAATTATATCTTTAAAAAATTTAAGATTTTTTTAATAAACTGTTAGATAAACCAACCAATTTTTTGGTGGATTATAATTCTTAAATATTTTAAAAAAGTCAAGACTACAAGAAATCCAATCTATCAAAGATTACATTTTTCTAGCCATGATTAAATCTAAAATAACTAAATTAGAAAGAAATCTATTGATATTAAATATCACAAAGCTATTATAGCCATTTGCTGTTACCTCTAAAAAGAGGATTTTATAGATAATATGTCTAGAAGATAATGGAAAATTATCAATGATTTCTAAATGTATTAATTTAGTTATTTTCACTAAAGATATATTATGTCTTTTAATAAGCTCTTTATTTAAAAAAGAAATTGAGGCTCTTGAATCTAGCAAGGCAAAGACTTTGTGATATTTAGGTCCTAATCAAATATCTATTATAAAATAAGAGGAGGAATTTGAAGATCAAATATAACCTTTATTAGATATTATATAAGATTTCAACCATGCATTCCCTATTCTAGCTGAACAAACTTATTTTCCAATATATTATCTTCTTTGATAACCATATTCCGTATTTTGTAGTTGTATTATATCTTTGAATAATGTTAAGTAGTATAATTAATTTCTCCACAATATAAGCACAATTCTTTTTAACAATGACAAGTCTTTTCTTGTTTGGTAAGAGATTTGAAATATATTGTATTAATTTGCATGTCTTCTACTTTCAAATGTATATATTGGAAAGGTGTTGGTATTGCCATTTGAATTGTAAAAATGCTAGGATTTATATGTGTGACTCTTGGATCAAAATTCAATAAGCCAATTGTTATACTTCATAGTCAAATCAATTGTTTGATCAATATTTGAAGATCAATTAAGTTGAACATTAATTTCTTTACTTTATATTGTAATCCATAAAAAAATTGACTAATGAGTGCAACATCATCTCACTTCATATTGATCACAAGTTGTTAATATTGTAAAACCTATAATGCTCACTTTCTTGTAATTTGTGAGTATTAATAATTTTGACAACACTTGCCTTCTTACAAAATACAAATCTTATCAGTTGCAACACAAATTGCATCATATTTTTCATACAAGGATCAAAACTTTGCCAAAAAAGCCTCTAAATTATCTAGAATTTGATCAAGTTGTTCAAAAAAGATTAAAACTATGATAAAACAAAACTTAAAAGTAGTGTTTGAATAAATCAAACTTATGGTCTTAGAATTGAATATAGCTTTGAGGTTGAAGTTCAATCACCACTTGTCTTTGATTGATGAATCTTCAAAACTTTGATCTCATAGCATCAAACTTCTTTAGCAAAGCAACTCTTCAAACTTTAATTCTTGAACTATGATCTAACATAGATGAAGAAACCTAATTTGGTATAGATGTTGAAGCAACTCTAATCAGCTCTATATCTTTATGTCCTACTAATCTTCTTGCTCTTTGTAGTAATAAATTGAGTTGATTCATTATAAGCATTAATACCGTCAATCACTCTTGAATTTGTACCATTGTACACTTCATTTTAATATTAGTAATACAATAAAAAAGAATATATTTAATATTGCTTGAAAAAAGCAGAAGAAAAGAATTGGGAAGAAAAAGAAAATTTATGAACAATATCAATTTAAAAGTTGCTAATCTATAATTTTTAATATGCTTATGTCTTATAAAAAAGGGATAATCTACTCTTAATTAAGAAGAGACAAAGCTTTAATATTGTCATTATATTCTTACCAGTTTATTAAAAAAAAAAACTTTAAAGAATGTAAATAAACAAGTCAGATGATTTTTAAAGAAATTTGACTAAGTAAATAAATAAATATATGTACTTAAAAGAAAATTAGAATGACTATTGTCAAAAGATAAGAAAATTAAAAACTCATAAAACCTAACTAAAAGTAAAAAAAAATTAATAAGAGTAAGAAAGGCCTCACTCTTACTTCTATAAATATTATTCAACTAAAAGCTTCATAGAGATGTTTTATAAAACTTCCAACATATCACTAATTTGCGAACACATGTCTAACTTGCAAGATAGGCTTTATATATAATATGCAACATTTCCAACTTCTACAATGAATCACTAACACCTATAACACGTTGCCAAATAATTGGCTAAGTTTTCATCATATCAACTAACTATAAACACATACAAAGACCTAGTGACATGTATAATTATAAAATATAAGTATTATTAAAAAAACATTATATAAAAATTTTAAAATAAAAGTTACAACAATACTTAAATTATGTTGTCTTAATCTCTTTTTTACAAAATTAATAAAAAAGAAAAAAAAAAACATAGAAATACAAAAAATAAATATATTACAAAATTCAATACGACTCTTAGTCAAACATGTCTCTTAATCAACTTATACTTAATCTTCTAAAAAGTTCAAAAACATAACAAAAATTGTTGCAAAAAATATATAAATAATCTTACATTAGAATCAAACAAAATAAATACAAAAAAAATAAAAACAAAAGAAAACAAAAAAACATTCTTTACGTATATTCATACAAATTACAAATTCAAATATAAAAACCAACTTTTGACCCTACTAAGATTTGAATGGTAAATATAGAACATTTTCAACAAACTAACATACATACTCTATACTGTTCCTGAATTTTGATTCAAAAAGTCAGTAAACCATGTAAAAAGTACTTAAAAGATACAAATTTTCCTCAAAGGCTTAAAATATAGAAGTACATAATTAAGAAAACCACCTGATAAGCATCTCCCCTTGAAAACGAGAATGCCACAAGCCTCCTCATATGAGAAATAACACATTTTTACACAAAAAATGTCCAAAAATAAAAAGCAATGTGTCAACTTCATGGCACACTAATTCAAATGTCATGACAAATTTACCAATTTTGTAACTAGCTGAATATCCAAAACTTAACATATATTTCACTCTTACTCTACATAAATATTACACGAAATGCAATCCCAAATCAATAAACTTCTCCATCACAATTTGCCACGCACCACAAATCCACTCTTCTTCTTAGAAAACTTGTCCCACCAAACCATGCAAAAACCTCAAAACAAACCAAACAAACAACATCTACCCTAATCCAATCCTGGAAAAATAACACACACCAACTGAATCATCAGATACACAACTACCATCCCATCAAAGATTCCTTCATAGAAAATACCACAAAATTAAGATCTCAAAACTCAATAACTCATACATCCACCCCCACACAAAAAAACACCAAAAACATTCCTGACTCTAAAACTCAACAATTTATACCATCAACTTCCACATATTTCGCACAGCTGTCAAAAAACGAAGTCGTTTGACAAAAAACTACACTATCACTCCCTCCCACGGCTAAGCCTCTCGTTCCATCACACTATCCTCCTCTAGACTTCACTCCTTCCTACGTCTACCATCACTCACAACTTCACACAACCTTCCCCACACACGTCTCTCCGCCAATCATTTCTCATACACACCATCCCCCATTCCACCGTCTTCCAAATAGGACAATCAACCCATCCATGCTCACCCGCTCAACTTCCCGCCACTCATACACAACACAACCACACAACACTATCCACCCTACATCATCACCTCTGCCTTCCCCTTCCAATCAATCCGCACCTCATCCTCAACACATCCCGCAATCAATCCCCATCACAAACTCCCTCCTACATGCACCACCATTCACATCAACACACCCATCCAAAACCCATCTCCAACGCACAAAACTCACTCCAAACCCCACCACCTCAAAACATACCAACCCATCCCCACAATCCCAAACTCCTCGTCTCTTACCACTCCCGCTTTGCAAAACACATCCGTTCCTCACCGTACAATTAAAAATTTAAAAATTTCTGTATTTATTCTCGTCCACCTCATTCGCCTGGACCTTCTAGTTGAACAGCCCTCCAAACGATCCGGCCATTCCAAGCCCTCCTAACATGCTACTGCCGCCCAGCTCCTGCAGCCGATTGTGCTGCTGCTGTTGCTGCGCCACAGCGGCGGCCAAATTCAACCTCGCGTTGTGCGCGTTCATGTGTCCCATTAACCCGCTCAGACCCCCCACCCCGTTCCCCCGCGCACCACCCCCCATACCTCTCGCGCTGTGGCTCCCCACACCCGGATGAGCCCTGCTGCTGCCTACTCCACCAATCCCTACGCTATTCCCGCTCCCCACCACACCCTCTCCGCTGTTCCGGTTCATCCCCACCTGACTGCTCACTATCGCCCCCAGGTTGTGCACGTTATTGCTGCCTCCCACTCCCACCATGTCCCCGCTCAGCCCCACGTTCCCTCCCAAACTCTCGCTCAAGTTTCCAACCATCCCATTCCCCGGGTTACCTCCCACCCCCACCCCTTGCCGCAACGCCACCTGGTTCTGGCTCACCTGCTGGTTCATCATCATCTCTTGCAGCAGCTGATGCACCCCACTTGAGCTCCCGTGATGCTTGCCCTGCGCTTGCTGCTGCTGCTGCACTACGCTCCCCCCATCCATGTTTTGCTGTACACATGAATCCCCTCGTGAGTACGCACTCACCCCTCCGCCAGATACCGACGGAAAACCATTCCCATACGAACTCATTAGGTTGCTCCCTGATGCCTGCACCGACCCGCCCACACCTCCCCCTCTGCACAACGACAACTGCTGCTGCCGCACGTGCTGCTGCGTCTGTAAGCTCCCTCCTACCCCATTCTGCCCGTTGCTTTGGTGGGATGCCACGCTCCCTCCCGACTCCAGGCTGTCCTGCAGAGATGTCTGTAGCGCTGCCAAAGAGTTGCTCTCGAAAAACGAACTCAGAGGGTCCGCCTCTGCCCCCCCTGATATCGCTTCCTCCAGCCCCGCCGCCCCCTGCCCATCCACTTCGTTCTCCTCCTCAAAATGCTC